TTCAGACGATTACGTCTTTTCAACAACAACTTTTTTTTTTTTGGTTCGAAACCGCTTTCCGATACTGTCGATGGTAACTGTTTCATGTTATCCCCTCCATGTTGTCTCTCCGTTTAAACAACAACAACAACAACAACAGAAATAATAATAGAGGCAATGGCAAAAATAATAATAAATAAAAAATAACAACAACAGTAACGATAATGAAATAACAATAACAATAACAATAACAGTGAGAGTAACAATAACGATAACAATAATAATAATAATAATAATAATAATAATAATAATGACAATAACAATAACAATAATAATAATAATAATAATAAGAAGAAGAAGAAGAAGAAGAAGAAGAGAATAAACTAACTCTAGTAAAATTTTATGCCCGTAACAACAGTAAGTTTACAGCTAAAAAATGTTTATGATAATCAACTGTGCAAAATTCAACAATTTAATTGCTACTGTTTTTAACAAGAAGCATACCAGAAATTTTTTTGTTCATTATACGATGAAAACAATCGTTCAGATACCAAATAATGCTTTTGCAACTTCCAAATTTTTGCTTCAATCTGCAAACATTATACATTCGTTATCATCATTGTGTAGTATCATTAGAATATTTTTTCTCTGCAATTTCACATTCTACTAATTACATTAACTTAGCTTAACAGAATTCTCGCCACACAACAGTGCCAAAAAAAAAACCCAGCTAACTAACAATAAAATATAATAACAGGCAAAAAGTGTAGAGTTTTGAATAGATCCAAAACAGGTTTCATCGTGACAGAAACTGAAGAATAAGAAAAAAAAAATTAAAGAGCGTAAAGAATAAATGCAAAAAAGTTGCAGGAGTTTTAAAAATTATTTTTATAGATTTTTAGGTGTTATAAGAAAGACGGCATAAAAGTGTTGCTGATTACTGGACGCCCAAAACGATAATTAACTTTGAGAAATTTCATTAGGAACTTTGAGAGAGCGACAAAAAAAATGTATGAATGATACTGATTGCGTTGCTATGGATTCTAGAAACGCCAGTATATAAACGACTGGTAGTCAGCATCAAAATATCGATCTTTGAAAAGGTGGGACATATGAAATGGCAAAGGAAATGAGATCAGTGTTGATGTCCACTGGGCTATCGCAGGGTGTCTTTGTTGGGCAATTATCTGGCATAAGCACATCCTGCTCTGCAAATCTTTTTGATACTTCTCAAAGCTGCTGCGCAAATCTGCTCAGAGAAAAACAATTTTTTTTTTAACAAAATCAAAAAGATAAAAAAAATATCTGAACAATTGTTGATGAATCAATTTTTTTTTCTGCTTCATTAACTACAAAAATTTGAAAGAAAGAAGTTTCATTCAGCCACAACAGTCAGCTTCTTCAGCTTTCAAGCAAATGAAAAAAATTCTTAATAACCGCTGAATTCAAAAAAAAAAAACTATTTAAAAGGTGACAGGAAGAAGTTCTGAAAAGTTGAGAAGTTGTTAATACATAATAACAAATTGAAAAAAATTATCAAATTTCAAATAAAAGGATTCCCATAAAAGTCAGAACTGTAAATAATGCTTAGCCGATTTTGTTTCCTTCTGATAATAGCACAAATCAATAGGCTATTTAGGCAAACAGTAAAACAGCTAATAAGAAAAAGAAAAAGTTAAGCACAACGAAAATTATCAATGCAAACAAAGTTATTTCAATACCACAAAATGACTGCCGAACTGATAAGTGGTATTATGCAAGACAAACACCAGTCTTCTAAGTAAAAAGATTTCTACATACCTAGTCACTAGTTTCAGTTGGAAGACTGAAAAAAAAATTCTAGTAGAACACGATCGTTCGCCAATTCTTAACTGTAGGAAAAGAAAACAAAACTACATATACTAGCTGAAACATTTTTTGTGGCCTCGCAGGTACACAGTTTTGGAAACTGCTATACTAAAATTATTTGTCGTCATTGCTAAATCTCCCTCTAGAGTATTAAAAAGGAGCTTACCTGACTCTAAAAGGTGAGCAACAATCATTATGCTGCCCTACCTGAGTTCCAGCAGTCAGGTTTTAAAGATTACTTTTTTTTCGCTATTATGTATTACTGAAATAACCTCTGCACTTTTTACTTATACATTTCCTTCTTTAAGCTGTAATGGTTATGTAGTAACCAAATAGCCTGCAATTTGCTTGATTACCTGCAATCTATCTTTGACGCTTTGTTCAGCAGGTTATCACTTGGTTATTCATTTCTGAAACCATAACATATCTAATTAGAAAACTAAATATGCACTTATTTCTCATGTCTCATCAACCATAAACCCCTGCTTATTCTGTAAAAGATCCTTGACGATTGTATTGCACTGGTGACCTGCTCTACTTCACTGGTTTTCAAATAAGATTATAGTCCATTGAAATCTAAACTGCGTTACAGACCTGTTCAACTGCTGTTCCTTAAATTACCCGTCACTTAAAGACCACCCAAATACTGTCGTTTGCATTGTTTTCAAAGCGTGACAAAATCTTCATTCTGTAACCCGTATCCTATTCGTTTTCCTTAACCACAGAGATTGGGAAATAATTTTCTACAGAGGATATTGTCCGCTCTCCCCAATTCCCTTCTTTACAAAACTAAAACATTGTTCGATTTCAAGAAATCTTACTAGTTATTAACTTAAATTTTTGAGTGAACAAAAGTCAAAAAACTTTTCCGTTTTTGCCATTCCTATGATCCCATAACTAATGTAATTATTCTTTAATAACATCTTCCTAAACATTTTTTTCAATACAAAACATATTTCTACACCAATATACTTCCGGAAAAAAAAAAAGAATGACACACGCCAGCTGTAAAATATGTACAAATTTTATCTCATTATCCAAGAATAGTGATAGAAATAAAACGAATTATTGCTCAAAACAGACCATCTCTTGAAAAGACCAACTCCTCATGAGAACCGTACAGGCCTAGCCTATATTTCCAAAATGAAAATGAAATCATCCACAGCAGTTCACTAATACACTTTTGCATACTGTTGCTTCCTGAGTTCCGTTGTATTCGTAACGCCTGCCTCATTAACCCAAAAAATTCTCAAATCGACGGCCCATAGGACATAAAATATGCATTCATCTCAGGACTTTTACACTTTTCCAGATACAAGTAATCACAATAACTTCCTTGCAAACAATTTTTTGCTTTCAAAAACTCATTTATTCAAGTCGAAGTCTTTTGGTTGACTTATCATCCAGCACTAACCCGGCAACTTACTTGGTAACAAAGAGCTCACCTTTAAATTACCCTTTAACCTTCAATTTTAAACCACTCAAAACGTGTAAACCAGATAAGAAAATAATTATCTCATCTAGCCACTCTGCAAACCAGTGGAAAAAGTGCTCTGGCAATACCGTTATAAGCGATTACTTCATATCTAACAATTAGTTTCAGCATGACCATTCTGAAGAATCTATTATGACCTTCAAGTCTTTTCCTCAATGCTTAATCATAACCGCACCACAATTACCGCGCCAACAATTTTTTCCAAATGTATCCCAAGATAAACAGCCATCTTGCTTTCATCCTAAATGATACACACACACCTCTCAGTTCAGAAAACACCAACTAATACCGACACCAAGACTCGCACTAATCAAAACTAAATAGTTTTATTCCCGACATACAATGCTCGCAAAAGCCATCCACCACCAACCCCTCCCCAGGCTTAGCCAAAATTGTCGGCAAAATGTGTCGGCCTATCAAAATTCTACAAAAAAGAATTTGAGCTCTGTCCACAACCGCAACAAATCCCCACAACCACTTAGTAAAAGTTTTCCATGTAAGTGCCCCCTCGGTGACAACCCCCATCCTCCCAAAACTTCCCACGAAGCACCCCAGCAAATCTAACCAGTCAGTTCAAACAAACAAGCAAGAACATAGACTGGCGCATACTAGCTCCAAACGCCTACGCCTTTATCAATAAAAAAACGACTGATCCCTTCACCCACTTTCGACTCGGCAAAAGCCACTCACCCTTCTCCTGCAAAGTCTACACCCCCTCGGATACAAAATAACTTAATTTCCTTAACGTCCCAGAGCATTCAAACTTCTCGAAAAAAACCCAGCAGTCTTCAAAAAAAAAGCTTTGTACACAAATCCACGAACTATCATTTAAACACCGTAAAACAAACTGATTTTATTTGCCAATAAAAGTTACTAAAGGTTTACGTCTTTTAACAGTAATTCGATTAGTAAAACAGCATAAAATTCTGTCTTCAGAAATTAACAGTCAATACTAAAGATACTTTTTGCAATCAGTGACTCACGTCTCTCTACTTATAAAACAAAAGAATTGAAATTACAATTAAAATTTGCTGCAAACACATGAGAAAAAACGATGAAGGGGGTAACTGGTGTCCAACTGACTTTTTAAACAAATGAATGGGACCAGATACAACAGCTATACAACTAACATGTAACAACGATACATATCTAATACTAAATTAGAACCCGTTGCATAATCTGCTTTGCAAGCTAAGGAGACATGCAATAAAACCAGCATTTTGAAGCATTGGAATAAGTAATAAAAAAATTCAAAGACTCAGTATTTCTAAAGGTTTATAAGCGACTGAATGTTAACAAAAGAGTAACAAACTTAACAGCTATAAAATCTTTCGAAACAAACTGTACATTACTCTTCAGCAGAAGAACACACAACTTGAAACAATGGCAAAAGCGGCAGCCTGGGCTCCCACAAACAATTAGGAAATTTTGAGCTTGAAAAAGATTTCTCTAACTGAAGGTGTACTTATTACAGCAACACCTCCTGACTTTTACACCATTCAAAAAGACCGATTAACTATAAGATGAGTATTAGAAACTGCCTTAACAGAAGCCGACTTGAGTACCAATAACATAAACATCCTATAAAAAAGCTTAAACTTAAAAATCTCAAGTACATCAAAGAAACAGCTAGGAGATGGAAATGCTTAGCAAAATATAATAAACACTGATTAAAACTCTAAAAATGTTCATAAACCTTCGACAATAGACGAGTTCGCTGTACGCGGAAACTTGAGCCCACAGATGATAGACTGCTAAGACGTTGAGCGTTGTAAACATCAAACCACGACAAATAGGAGTTTAGTAAAACAGTGATGTCCGATTCTGCGACTCCAAGTGACTTTAGAAACTAGAAAAAAGAATCGTGAGCAGTGACAGACAAAAGATTTGAAAAAAAAAAGCCAAAAAAGCACCTTCTTATTAATAACGCCTTCCAAATCACCCAACACACACAGTGAACGCGAGTGGAACAATTTCTCATATTGAGGACAATTTAATCCAGCTAACCACCTGAACATACAATTTAGAAGTACAGACAGTATAAACATTAACATGCCCACATTACAGAACGTTTCAAACTAACGAGGCAACCGAGGTGTTGGCGGAAAGTGTACGAGAACGACTTCTAAGATGACGAACTTCAACTCCTCCATCCTCCTTCTCTTTCAAATATCGACGGCTTAGTTCATAATTGTAAACAATAGAGCAAACCAATTTGTAAAGGTGACGACCACGTATCTAAGAAATGAGAAATATTAACTAACATTTCCCAAATGGGGTACGCAGGAATTCATGTTACATCATCAGAAAAAAGCCAAATTTCTAATAGACTGAGGGAACCTGGACTTCATAAATAGTCTCGTCGTCCTCTGTGAATTCACTCTTGGACGCTGCGGCACTTTTTGTAATTACCTCCATCTTTCTCGGCAACGTAATCGTTCGTTTCCTTTTGGCTAAAACATCATCGACAATCTATCTTCAGAAAACAACATATAAATGTGAGAATTTCAAATTAGTTTTATCCTTAAAAAAACCATATAAAGTAGGAAGAAACAGTAACGTCAAAGTATATATTGACTTACGAGGAGGTTCAAAACCGTCAACAGCAGCGTCCCGGCTTGGACATGCACAAACTTTTAGTGTTACCTTTTTCTTGCCCAAAAGTCCACCACTGCAGGAATCAAAAATTATAAAGTTCCGACTAGTTGGATCATTATTAATACGCAATTACAAAGGTTGAACCTCCAAAAATCAAATAAAACAAATAAGTATCAATAAGCAGCAGTCCTAATTAAAAGCGCTACAAATAACAAAAGACAGTGAAACGTACTTATTTTCAAGAGAGAAATCCACATAAACAGAACGGCGACCAATACCACCAGGACAGGAAGAAAAACATTTAAACTGGAGAGGAATAAATGGAGGCTCGTCTGGCTTGGGATAAGGGACAGTTAAATGTGGTCTATCTCCTACCCACCTAGCTTCCACATATGTTACTGAAGAGGATTTCGCCACAATAAAGTGCTCACGAGTAGCACCTTCTAAAAACATTATTCATTTCTCAAAGTTATAATTAAGACTCCGTGGAACAGATGTTAAATAAAGATGCTATAACACGGTAATCATAAGCCAAATGAAAACAATAAAAAAACTTTATACTATCTAAATTACCGTCAGATCCCAAATGGTTCGGACATCTTCTTACAGGTTGTGAGGCATGATTCCCTTCCGCATAGAACGCACATACACGTATTATGCTGTCTGCAGGGGGATAAGCCGAGCACGAAACTTTGAAAGGAACGTCAATAAACGGTTTTGTAAACAAACATCTTTCGCTCTCATTGTACTGGAAAGGCAAATAACTAACTTTTAATTCCAAAACTGACGATATTAATGAGTATTCTAATTATCTGAAAAAACTGGATTATTGTCAAACACTGATACATCTTCGATAATTCCAAAGAGAAGTTGATAGAAGCGAAGAATCAAAACATACCACATAATCACCTGTTTTCTTTCTTTTTGCAGATTCTACAGTGACGTCAAAATTATATGCTCCTTGAAACCTGTAAGAAACCCAAAATGATAGTTTCAAAAAAGATTTCATCGAACATTTGCAAGTTAACACTTTCCAATAAATGTCACCTACAAGAAGAAAACTGAGAGACAACAAAATTTACACTTACTCTACTCCAGAAGTGGCAACTGTCTGATTCATACCGAGTAGCGCCTGGGCCCCTTCAACGGCATTCTAAAGAGAGATTTAACACCCTAAACAACAGAAAAAAGAGAACAGATATGACCTTTCCAACTTTAAAAGTTTCCTTACAGGATACTGATTAGAATTTGAGGGACCCGGCAATGTGGACTCCCAACTACGGTCATCCTAAAATGAATAATGACAGAGAAAAAAAAAAAAAGAAACAGATAAAGCCTAACCATACTTTTACTCCACTGTGATCCTCTAACAAACCGGAAAGGATTGACGAAGCATTAACTTTGTCCCGTGGAACGTCAAACTGAAAAAAGAGTGACCAGATAAAAAAGGCGATGCATATACCAATCTAATGTGCATTTCTTTAAAATTAAACAATGCTTTCGATCGAAACTCTAAAAATGATTACAAAGAACTCGTCCTCTTCGATAGTTATTTGAGCTTCCTCTAACTCATCCGCAGTAAAATTTTCCGGCTGAATGCTGAAAAAAAAAACCGACATAAGAAATATATAATCTTCAGTCTAAGTCTCGCTGAGAACAAAAGAATTAGCATAACTAATTTAGACGCCTCACTTTCTGGCCAATTCAGAACTTGTAATATGCGGAATAACTCCAGAAGGAGATGTACACAAAAAACTTTCCACAGCCTCAGTGCGAAGAGATAACGACAAAGAGTCGTTGTCACGTTGACTTTCGTTTTCTAGAAAACTCTCTAGCCTGTTCTTCTTGCTTAACTCATCCTCTTGACTACTTTCATAAACGTCATCAGACATTGACACTACCAACTGATATCGAAAGAAAGTGAGGTGGAATAAATGAGAATAAACGTAATCCCCTTCAGCCTGTAAATTAAAACGTTTGTCTAGTTTAACAAAAAATGTTCCAAGTGCCATGAAAAATTGAAAACTTTAACGTCGCCATCATATAAGCCAGTAATTAGTTCTTATTTGTAGCCTTATTTGAGTAAAACTCCCAAGAACGTACACACCGACGTCTCATTTATTAGTTATTTCATAGATGCAAGATATTTTTCACCATGAACTGGCGCCTGTCCCAACACCCACCTTCTGCAAACCACTTTCTGGCAGCAATTTTTCCATAAGCTAATTTCTTCCTTCCTCAAGAAATAATTAGCACAAATCCTGACATCAATATCAAAATTATTGGTTCTGTACTCGTAAGAATTCTTCGAGTTAACTATAACTACTGTGCAAAAAAGCTAATTCTACTCAAAAGTTTCCTGTAGAAATGTAGTTTAACCTTCGAACTATCGAATTTAATACTCACCACGGTGGTGCAAGGTAGTCAAAACAACATCTTTTTCCCGTTCATTTAATTTATTACACCGCGTGTACAAACGATTTACACTGTAGTATTATAAAGAAAGCGAACAATCAGCGAAAAGGAAGACCGCCGTTGGAAACAAAGAAAACACCAATACAATTAGATTAAAACAAAAAAAAACCAAAAAAAAAGTTTAAAAACCAGACGCCATTAAAAAACAGAGACTTGTCTTTTGTTTTCTAGTCTTTTGAACCAAAATGTTATAGAGAAAAATTTTTTTAAATCTAAAAAACCCCAAAAAATATGGTATTTGTATGGTACTTGCATATACATAAGATACTGCTTAATCAAATGGTAAATACGTAAGCAATAACCGTCGTATTGCGCTTCATTACTGAAAGCCACGTACGGTTAGTTTTATCAACAACAAACGCATAAAAAGAAATATGCTTAATGAAGTAACAGATGTAATAAAAAACCTGGAGTAAGCAAAAAGAGCGTCTTTTTAAAGAGGTAATGTATAGAAGGTAGAGAATACCAAGAAAACCGCAAAAATTAATTTTAATCCTCCCAACGTAATATTACTAATAAAATTCAAAATTTTAAAAATTCAGCAGGAGTGTTTAAAAAAATTGTAGACTATTACAAGTTCCTCCTTCATTTAAATGAATCCCCTTAGTCTACGGCTGTCGGCTAACACTCATTTCTAGAGTCACTAAAGACGACTTTCTCCGTCATCCTACTCCTAACAAACACCTCTTTAAATTTTACTGTGCCTACACATCACGCCTTCAATTAAGATGGTACTACCAAGATTGGAACTTTTGACTTGAAATATTGAATGTTACAGCAGAACCAGCCTGTACGTTCAACAGCACTCAAATAGGAAAGGAACAAACAACAAACTGAAATCAAAAACCGACAAAGAAGAAACTGTCCACCAGGAAGCTGCACAACTCTATCTGCAACATAAAACACTAAGCATACCGCACAACTCTAACAGCCAACTGTACGAAATGCCAAGAGCCGACAGAAAAGGCCAAACAACACTATTGTCCGTTACAACTGCCGAAATTGCTCTAAACCCTAAACGGTCGCCTCAATGTTTGGTAATCCCTCTGACGAACTAAAATCAAGCACAGGGAAAATTCGCTTATAGAACTTGACCGAATTTTTCACTGACAGCAACTGCGGCATTAAAATTCACGCCTGATTTCGAAGTAATCTGGAAGTCCGCCAATTTCCTCATCATGGCGTAACAGTCTCTTCAGTTATCCTGAACTGTTAATGAAATATATAACTCAGCTTTAATATTTTTTTCTTCATTATCGCTTGCTTTATTCTTTCGCTGGCTTCCTGTTAAGACCTGGTTAGAATGTGAAGAAAACGCCATCGGAAATGGTCCCCTGATTATTCTCCTTAGGAGCTACTGTCGCTACTACCGCTTTCAAAATGCTGAGGATCCTGATGTTATATGAGAATCATGCCTTCAGGGAAAATGTGGCCTTTTTATTTTGAAAACGTCCCGCTGCAACTTCTGTTGGCTTTGAAAGGGATAAAATTCGGAATGGAGGAGTGGCGAATGGTCGTAAAGAACTTAAGGGTAAGCGTAATGACTGTTTCGCTGAACGGAATGATTCGTATGTTTCAGTCCGAAGCAAAATATTTTTGTAGCCGATAATACCTATTAACTTCGAAGGATGTCCGACCTTAAGGGAGAGACCGCTACAATCTTCTTAAATTATGAGCTTTACCTCAGGCTAAGGTTCAAAAAGCAAACGCATAAGTTAGTGTCCACCCTGTCCTCATCGATACTGCACGGTGAGCCCTTTAAACAAAATTGCAAACTGTACTGACCGGTTAATAACCTGAATTCATATGTAAGGTTAGGGGTTCCAATTCAGTTCAACTAGATTTTGATTGAAAAATTATTACAATTAGCAAGTTACAATTTTTATGATCACAATTAATCAAATTAGTTACAGTTTTGTACGCCAATAATTACCGTTTTAAAATTATGTATATGAATGCAGATACATACAACCGCACGTAAAAGCGCTTGATAACAACGGAGCAGGAACTCAGAAATAACAAAACACATAAAAGTAATAAGTGAAAAAAGAACAGGTTCGAACTTGAGACCGGGAGTACAACAAAGGCAAGCAACAACAAATATCACAGATACCATTATCGAAAACTTCACTGGGCTAAATACCGCACCAAAAACAAAGGGAAAAAAAGTACAGGGGAATGATCAGTACTATAACGGCACTGACTTTGGTGCTGGCATTAGTCAGCTACTATAAAGTGGAAATTGCCCCTTGACTCTAAATGCAAAATTAGTAACTATAGATGTTTACAACCGTAGACGCAATCGAATCATAAAATTATTGCTTGGTTTTTAGATTTCAATTTAAACGTCCATTGCAGGAAGCTGGAATATTAAATGTAAACCAAAAATTTAGCAGCTCATCACAAACCGCCACAAGAAAAATAATCGGAACTATGGTAGGAATGGCAATAAAAAAGTAGCTATTGCCACAAATAAGTTATTAGAACAAGGTAAATCACTTCTTACATTCTTAATTTAGTAAAAACTTAAGACAGATTTCCCTTTAAGTACAATTGTAGATCAAGCATTCTTCAGAATGTGAAGTAAAGTATCCACACCAAGCAAGAATCCCTCATCAGGCCCTGAATACTGAACATCTCCAACCAGACCTCTACAAGTGGCATGAGCGAAATCAACAAGGCATACCCTTACAGTCTCCTAAAAGTAGATCATCACATAATAAAGACTATCTGACGGGCAGAGTAAGAATGTAAAAAGAAAGTAAAAAGAACTATCTTACTACCTTATTTTCGTGCAGGATTTGTGGGTCCCCATCATAGACAATCAGCAGTGAAGCACTGAACAACCGACAACCATCCACTAAAGATAATGCCTGCAAAATTGTGTAATAGTACTTCGGTAATACTATAAAAATGATGTTCCCCAACTGAAGATTAAAACTAACTTTTTTAAATTCTTCTAAACGTTTTATAACGGGGACACATAAACTTCTCCTTAGAGAACATCCACCAGGGTCGCTGAAGAAGTTTATTATCACCTCTTGCATCTGCTCATAATTCAAATTTTTTCCGTAATATTTATTACAACATTGAAAGACTGACGAAGCTGAGTCGTAGTACTGCATCCCTAAAATAACAGTTTCAGCCCCACGATGAGGAACCCAAGTCATATACTAACAACTGACATGGAACTTTTAAGGCTTCAACATTTTCCGCAACTATTTTTAATGCTAAATTTTAACAACTTTTTAAAATAAAGAAAAATCCGCAACACGGCAAATAAAAAAAAAAAATGTTTCTGCAAAAAGCTAAATTTGTGCCTCACATGAATATACTACTTTCAAGTACCTCCTATCCGAAGTCCATACTTCTTAGATGTACTACGCTCACACTTTTCCATGAATTTCATTACTTTGACTTCATTCACCCCGTCGCCATGTTGCCGAGTACCCATCTTAAGATCCAGAACACACGGGTATTGGAAAAATCGAGTTATATTTTCAAGAACAATAAAATGGCTGCAAATTTTAGAACTTTACAACCAGAGCCAAACAAACATCTCAGTTAAATTATTTCAAAAAATATTTTAATAACACAAGTGTTACTTACTTTGCGCATCGTAGAGCTCTCTGCTTCTTTGGTTTCCTTGTCCGCAACCAACACTCAGTAGCCCATGGGTTCACCGCATTAACAGTTCCCGACCCAGTATCCCGATAAACACTTTTTCTTGGAACTATAAAAAATTATCGTAAAGAACCACGAAAAATCAGTAATAACTAGCTTTGAAACGAGAAAGAAACTACCTTTCTTGGTGGAACTCTTCACCGAAGTTAATACTTTACCATCCCTACAAAAAGCGCATTGCTGCCTTCCACCAACGAATGAAGTTGATGGTAAAATGACGATATTTTCACATCCATTCTGTATTTCAAGCTGTAATTATCACTGTTAATATGCCAATTATTTCCTCTAAAGAAAGCAAAATTCTGGCAGCACTAGCAGTTTAAAAGCTCTTGAACGAAACAAATAAGCGATAAAGAAAACGAAAATACCTTAACTTCGCCACAAAACGCTGGCGTAAACTCTGCCAGTTCAACTGGCATTTTCTTGTAGAAATTTGCTTCTCTCTCGCAGAAAGGTTTGCACAAGTGAAACTCGTCAGGACACATTAACGGTACGTGTCCGCTAACCTGAAATTTTCCTTTTCTTGAACTTTTCCCTCTGTGAATGAAACCAAAAAACTCTCAATGGAATCTAAACAAGATAAACTAGAAACAAGGAGTATATTAGCTTTTCGCTTAGATGGCGACAACAAAGAACTGCATTTAATTTATAAAGTCCTTTGTGAATAAACCATCCCGTACTACCCCATATGAAAAAAATTGTTCCAGAAGAAAATACTTCCTCCCATATTTCAGTAAATACCAAGATGGACCAGCTAACTTCAAGATTTTCAGAACAAAAAAAACGTGTATACCACCCTCCCCTTAAATCAACCTAAAGTAGAAGGATAAAATGCAGCTATGTGCCAACCTGATGAACAAATGGGTGAAGAATTGGTTCACTGTCATCACGTTCAAACGCCGCATATTCATCGTCATTGAATCCATCAGGCAGTAGATCAAGGCATACACGCAGGAACAACCGGTCATAACACCCGTTTCCGATGAGGCTGCATGCGACCATATCTTTAGCGTCCGCCTCTAAAAAATTGAAATTCATTAGTTGTAAAATTATGGTTGCTACATTCTGATAAACCAATGCATAAGGCAATGAGCAAAAACGTCCATTCATCTTAAAATTGATTATGAAATGTTGAAGTTGAATTTCCAAGAATTGAGCCAGCGGAAAAGCTAGGAAAAAAAAGCAAATTAAAAAACTGAGAGAGCAAACGAAAAATCTATGAATCATTACTATTGGACGGAAAAAAATTTGATTAACAAGATGATGAAGACCAAGGCGTTTGATGGGACCAAAGATTGTAAAACAGCTGACAGTGTTACACCTCCGACCATTTATGACACAATTTACATGAATATTTCGTACAATACAGAGAGAGGATAAGGACAGACGGCGGATGGAGTGTTGAGAAGAACAATGTTGTTTGTAGTTTTTCTTTCTTTGTTGTTTTTGTTCAATTTAACCATCTGCTCGCTGGACAGTAACAGTGGAGGAGGTTAAACAGAAGTCAAAAACTTCATGAACTTTCAACGAGGTTCAACACATTGTGTTCATATATCACCGACATGTGTACAACTAAAAAATGTCGCGGCAGTTAAAAAGTGACGAATCATGTCCGTTTAACCCTCACCAAGTTTCAGAAGTTGCAAACAAGAAAAAAAAAAAAGAAAAACAAGCAATACAGTAGTGGAAGAAATAAAGTCAACAAATAAAGCAAATGCCAATCTGAAGCCGAAAGAGCATAAGAGTAAACAAAAAAACAAGACAAAAAAAAATTTGTCAGAAGAGTAATACAGAGGCGGAAAAAAAAAGTGTAAATTAAGGCAGAATAAATAAGAAAGAACAATATTCAAAAGATGAAGAAAAAAAATCAAAAATTTAGCATCAAAAGAATAGCAAATTGATCTTTGGTATGTGCCCAACCAATCCAGTAACTTTTTACTGGTTTTTTTTTTTCCGTTTTTCTCTGAAACTGTTTCGGCAAACAGTGTCCACTAAGCTGACAGCCGTAAACGAAAAACAGAGTCACAAAGAACAAGAAAAGAAAAACCTAAGCGAAGACCAAAAACTATTTTCAGTATCAAAGAATTAACAAAAATTTTGGGTAGTTTTTTTCTTTTTTCTTTTTCTTTGTTCATAACTAAAAAACACGAGTAAAATTTGCATTTTAAACATAAAAAACAAATTTTTTTTTTTTTTGCTTATCCAAATAAATCCAATTAGATCACCAAATGTTATTTCCACTATCCAACCGGAAAAAAGTACCGTGAAAAAAAACGAAATAATGGCAGTTCTAGCAGTAACAATAAACAGAATGATAACAAAAAATTTTGCACTGTTAATATCGACCTCAAATTTAAAACAGCAGTAAAAGAAGAAAAAATTAAAGCATTTTTAAGTGTGCGGTAAATAGGTATATTTTTTTATGTACGCTAATAGAGATATATGTGCAAAAATATAAGAAAAAAATAAAAAAAAAAAAAGAAGAACCAATGTTTAAGCAGATACCAAATTAAAAAAGTCCAAATCAAAACTGATATTAATATGCGAGCAATATATCACAGAAATAAATTGCTACAATCAATATATTTTAGCATCAACTAATATATGCCTCTGCAAACATTTTTTACTTTTATCTTTCATAAATAATCACAAAAAAAAAAAAAAAAAAAAAAAAAAAAAA